TCTGTTTTGTGCTTTTCCCTCGACCCAATCTGTAAGCTCCATCAGTTTTGCTTTGCATGCGTTCAGGCTGTGGCTTCTAACCGTGTCCCATTTTCCGCCCTTTGTTTCACTTAGATTTTCGCCATGGGCATGTGTGATTTCTATAATAACACTCTGAAGCCTCGGCAAAATTATAAATAGTTGGGTACTTTGAAAAGGAAAATAAATACAGCCCGGTGAGAAGTCTGGGGCCAGCTGCCTGGCTGCAGGCTGGAAGGGGGTTCTCAGCCTGTTGGGGAGCCCCTTCTTTCCACCTCAGCCCCAGGTCAGCCCCACACACACATGCTCTGTGTCTGTGGCCAAGGCACGTGATAGTGGACTCCGCAGCCCTGGGCAGAGAGCTTCCAACCTCCCCTGAGGGGCCCTGAGATCTTGGCAAAATCACACAATCCCTGAGAGCCGGACCTCAGCCGGAATCTCTGCGCCCAGGCCAGTTAGGTGTTCACATTTTCTTCACTTGTCCCAGAAACCTTTGTTGAGCATCTTTTATATTCCAGGCGTGAGTCAGGCCCAGGGAATGCAGAAGGAACAATAGAAACACAGCCCCTGCCCTTAGAGCCCTCACAGTCCACATGAAATAAAGAATGTCGGAGGTGGCTGTGTTGTCACGATCACCCTAAGTCCTCCCAGAAAGGAGGTACACACGCAGGGCCACGCGCAGACCCAGGGAAGCTGCGCTGCTGTGCTCTGGAGAATCAGAAGGGCTTCCAGGAAGAAGGGACAGGCACGCTGTGACCAAGGAGGAGCCAAGTTGGCCAGGTGGAAAGAGGCAGGACAGTGTTTCAGGCGGAGGGACGGGCACGGGCAAAGGGCCGGAGCTTGGGTCTTTGGGGAGCAGAAAGGCACCAGGGCGGGTTGAGCAGCGTGACAGGGTGGAGGAGAGGAGGAGAGGCAGGCAGGTCTTGCTAGGCCTTGTAGGCCACAGCGAGGAGTCAGGGCTTCATCCTAAGTCAACAGGGAGCCCCGGCCAGGGCTTAAAGCAGGGAAGCAACATGATCTGGTCGGAGTTTGTTCTAGCAGCACTCTGGCTGCAGTGCAGAACGTGGAGCCCCAGGCAGGCCCCATTCGGAGCTCTCAGAGCGTGTCTGGAAACAGCTGGGTGTTGTCCGTCCAAGCAGCTCCCCGAACCTCCCTAGAGACCTCGCAGCCTGTCGTAGAATGTCTGTCTGCTCATTTCTCTGGCCAGCCCCCACCTCCCACCTCGGCCCCCGCTGGGCACAGCCACAGCACACGTGAGGCCCACGAATGCCCAGGTCAGCCTTCCTGTCTCTCCCGAGCTGGCCTTTGATCCCGTAGGCATCAATCTTGGGATTCACAGCTGCCAGGTCACAGCTGCCCCAGCGGGTGGTGGCTCCTCTATGTCCTCACCCTGGCTGTCTCTCCCGTGTCCTGTGGGGTCTGTACTAGGACAGAGAAGAGGGCACTGACCTCTCTTCCTGTCTCTGCAGGCGTCCTGGACCTGGGGGCCCGAGGGCCAGGGGGCCATCCTGCTGGTGAACTGTGACCGAGACACGCCCTGGTTGCCCAAGGAGGACTACAGCGATGAGAAGGTCTACAGCAGGGAAGGTGACCGCAGGCCCTGCTCGCGGGGTGGGGGCAGCAGCGGAAAGATTCATGCCAAGTCCTGGGCGGGGCCAAGGGTAAGGCCGGTGTGGGCTTCAGCCCCCTGGGATGGTGGGCTCCCATGCCCACTCTTGCTCAAAGCAGAAAACAAAACTGTAAACACAGTTCCATTGGAACCATGTTTTTTAAAAGTTATACGTGTCCCTAGAAAAGGACTGGAAGGAAGTTCTCGAAGGTTAATAGGAAGCCGGCTCCAGTGTTGGAGAGGACAGCTGGTTTTTTATTCTCCTTTATGCTTTTCTGTGGTTTCCATAATACACAACCGTGGAGATATCTTTTTCCTAATTACAAAAGTGTTAATAAAAGGCAGCAGCAAGCCAAGGTTCCAGCCGCACTTCCAACCTGCCCGTGCGTCTGCCTGCAGACCTCAAGGACATGTCCCAGATGATCCTGCGGACCAAGGGCCCCGACCGCCTCCCCGCTGGATACGAGATAGTTCTCTACATTTCCATGTCGGACTCGGACAAAGTGGGCGTGTTCTACGTGGAGAGTGAGTGACCCCAGCCCCGCCCTCCAGGGCCACCTCCCGCCTCCCCTCAGCAGCTGCGCAGGTGCCTGTGTGGGGGCAGAGAGACCAGGATTGGTCCCCGGGTAATTGTAACTGGGAAACGCTGCTGTCCCATGAGTCTTCGCGGGGATCCATCCAAACCTGAGACAGGGCAGGCACCCCCTCCAGGTGTCTTCTGCCATCTCTGACTTTTAAAGACCCCCTGAAAATGCCGTGGGCACCCTTGTTGACCCCCTTGTTCCTCTTGATGGCGACAGGGTGTCCTGGGCCCCGATTGTGCAGGGAACCCGCTTCCACCATAAAGCTGGTCCTCGTAGCCCCTACCCCATCTCACTCTTTCTGTGAATATGCGTTGAACCCCTCAGTGCCGGGCACTGTCCTCAGCGCTGGGATCTCTGCAGTGAGCGTGACATCACACCCTGTCCTCGAGGAGCTGCCCGTCTAGCCAGGGGGACATAATCAATAGCGCAGTCGGAGGAAGTGAAGTAGACCAGGCGACAGAGATGGCAGGGCAGAGGCACCGCCGGACAGATGGCCCAGAAAGGCCTCCTGAGGAGGCGACATTTGAGCTGAGCCTCAGATGAGCAATAAGGAGCCACCTGTGAGCCGAGGGAAGAGTGCTCTAAGCAGAGGGCTTGGCACCCGCAGAGCATGGAGGAAGGGGCCAGCTTGGCGTGTCACAGGAGCAGGAAGAAGACCAGAGCAGGGGCGTGTTGGGAGTCAAGGTCAGCGAGCTGGGCCAGGGGCCAGAGCCTGCAGACGGGGTTTGGACTTTATTCTGAGCGCACTGGAAAGCCATTAGAGGGTTTTTAGCATGGGCCTGCCAAGATCTGATTTATGTATTTAAAAAGCTCCCTCAGCAAAACAGTCAGCTTTGCAATTTGCCATGGTGCAGGGGGCACTTCTGTGTGCCCCGCTGTCTGGGGGGCCCAGGACCTCTGGCCTAGCCCTGGGCCCACCTCTGGACGGGGCAGTCACCATGAGGAGCTGGTCATGGGGGCCCTGGACCCTCACCTCAAGGAGCGATTTAGCCAGGGAAATAGTGGACAGCGGCCACCCAGTGCCAGCTCTCCTGATCCACCCTGGGCTCCAAGCAGTGACCTCGCACAGGTTGGAATGTCCCCAGAGTCAGGCCGGCTCCGCCACCCCAGGGGGCCAGAGATGTTGATGTTGACACCGTCCAGGCCAGTGTTGCCATGGGGCTGGGGTCACCAGCAGAGGCAGGAAAGGAGCAGGCAGGACCTCAGCCTGGGCTTCCCCACCTCGCCATCATGGCACGAGACCCGTTGCTCATAGTGACGTCTGGGCGTCATCCAGAGGTTTCTTCTTCTTGTTAACGGGAGTGGACTCTGGTCTGGCTCCATCACATCCGTCCCCCTCACTTGCCATCTGGGACGAGTCCTGAGCAGACGAGAAAAAAGAGGAACTGCTTCTGCAAGGGCTTTGAGAACGTCCTCGAAATCTGTCTCACCTGGGCTGCCCGTCCTGCGGCGAGTGGCCGTTACTGAGACAGTGATGACCCAGAATAGTCAGCTCCCCACAAAATGCAGACTCCTAGATGACTGAGCCACACACGCACACAAAGGAGGGCAGATAATTGATCTGCAGCACAGTTTCCTTTGCTTTCATGCAAACATTCTGAGATTTTAGTCAAATTCCGAGTACACCAGTGGGTGAGAACGTGTTGTGTCACCCGTGTCCTGGTAGAGGAAACCACCTCTCCCCAAGGGCAGGGGGCTGGGTTGGAGACCCAGGGACCCCAGGAGGGAGATCTGGAACCAGGGAGGTTCAGATCCTGGGTCCAGGAAAGTCTCCCCACCATCCCTGGCCTTGGGGTCCTCATCTGTGACGTGGCCTGGGGTTAACAAGACTGTCTGGATGGCAGTAGGGATTGAATGAGGAACGTGTGTCAGGCACTCACTGCGGCGGCTAGCCTATGGAAAGTTCTCTATAAATGGTAGTTGGGATTATTATGGTGACTTTAATTACAATGATTGGAGTGGACAGAAGTCTCCAGTGCTCCCAGGAAGACCTGGTGACTGTGTTCCAACCTCAAGTTCTGCCCAGAACACCAAGCGTTGGGGCCTTACCTCTTCCCGCAAGGATATGGTGAGCAATTTGTCCCAGTTTGCCCAGGACTTCCTGGTTTTAGCACTGAAAGTCCCTCATGGCAGGAAACCCCTCAGTCCCAGGCAAACCAAGCCAGCCGGTCACACTGTCAAGGAGTCTCCTTGGGAGGTAGAATCATTCCAAAGAGACTCAGGGTTATGCAAACCATGCCACATGCCAGCCAGCAGGGGCCAATGCCTGGGGCCGAGGAGAGGTCGTGGTGGCCAGTGGCTGGGGGCCCAGCCCAAGGCACGAGGGCCGCTCAACAGAGGGGCATTGTCGGTTCCGCAGGCAGAGCCAGCTGTGCTCAGAGCGGGGTCTGCACTGAGCTGGGGACAGAGGCGGGGGACAGGGGGTGGGGGAAGGAGACTCCTCAGGACAATGGCTGGACTGTTCCCACCAAGAAATCCATCTGCCTGGAGCTGACCCAAACTTCCAGAAAGAGGCCCAGGATAGAGACACATTGTGAATCACAGGCCACATTGGGAGGGAGAGAGCTACTGGCAGATGGACCAGAACGTGTCTTCCAACCCAACCCTGGCCGGGTGCCCACTCCTGCCCCAGACCCTGGTGGAGCCCCCCAGCCGTCCCCAGCCCTGGAAAAGCTTCAGCTGTGCTGCTTCCAAAGACAAGTTGGCTTCTAGGCCTGACATCTCTCCCTGAGCATCAGTTCAAGTGCAGCCTGGGGCATGTGGGCGTGGGAGGGCCCCAGTGCCCGGGGAAGAATGTTTTAATTATACCGATCCATCTGATCTACTCGGTAACTGGGCACACGCTGTTGTTTCTGGGCGAGCAGGACCTCACTTTCTGTTCCTTGGGACTGTCTGAATTTTTCCACCTCATTTCTTGGACACTCCCCCACCCCCACCCTCGCTGCAAGGGAGGAGGAGGTGAGATATCATTTCTTTGCCTTCTGTTCAGAAGCTGTTCGATGAAAAGGTCCTGAATTTTGCTATAAGAGGTTCACAGATTCTCATACCCGTAATACCAGCAGGTCCCAGCGGTGTTACCCGTAGTTACCAAGGTTGCTGGAGTTACTGAGGCTGTGTTGTTGCCAAAGACCCCGTGGCATGGGTATTAATATCCCCCATTTAACGGATGAGTAAACTGAGGCTCAGGGAAGTTAAGTGAATTCCCTGAGGTTTCACAGCTCGTAAAGCCAGAGCAGTATTTGAACCAAGGCCTCTCTGACAGTGAAAACCATAACCACTAAGGTAACCGCCCTCAGTGAGATTTATAACCAGGGTCTAGCACATTGTCCTGCAGGAAAACCCATCCCAAGCCCAGGCTTCGTGCTGCATCCATTCATTTCACACGTTTCAATCAAGCGCCTTGTCTGTGCCAGGACCATTCTGCTTACATGTTCTCACCCTTGGGTAACTGGTCGTTAACCATTATCTTTGTTGTTGAAAGCACTGAGTGGAGCTTGACTCTGCCCTTCCAGCTCTGCAGGGCATAAAGAAACTCCTGGAACTGCACAGGGTCCTACCTGCGTGCCTTTGCCAACGCAAGTATCTCTTCTCCCCAGCGCACCCACCTCTGCCTCCCCGCGAGGGCATTTCAAAGAGTCAAGGCCGCCTTCCTCCGCTCGGTGCTTCCCACCCCGCCTGCCCCTGCCCTGAGTAACCAGCCTGGATCTCACCCGCAGCTGCCGTTATGACACTTCCCACATCCGCTCTATCTCACCATCGGCCATGCACGGCTCCGAGACGGAGACGCTGCATCTCAGCCCCCTCTGTCTCCCCCCGGAAGGTCTTGCCCACGCTGGTCACAGAATAGTCTTTCAGTCCATCTGCTCTCCATCAGCCTGAAAATTGCCATCGTCCTCTCCCACAGGGAGTGGTCCAGGAGCCCCTGGTTCGTTCAGTAGACATTTATTAAACACGACCATGTGCCAAGTGGGCCCTGGGCCCCCCGGCCCTGTCTCTGCCCTCGTACAGTCACCCCTGCCGTTAGCGAAGCTGTGATGGGGAAGGGCAGGGGCTGCGGCAGCTCCAAATCGAGCCCTGGCTTAGTCTTTGGGGGATCCGGGCAGGATAACTGAGAGTGACACAAATTAAGGCCTGTAGGAAGGAGGGACACAGCTGTCCAAGCAGAGGGAACGGCACACGACCAGCTGGGCGATCTCCGTGGGGCCGGTGCACTGGAGAAAGCTGCCTTTCCTCCCAGCCACGAGAACGGACGGCCAGAGACCCAGGCCTTTGTCTTTGCACCAACGTGCCTTCGTTATATGGAGGGGAATTTGGGGTACAAATGAGTACATTTGTGTTTCATTTATACAGAGGGGATTGGAGCTCAGAATTCAGAATTGGACGTGAATTTGAGTCCCAGCTCAGCCACTTACTGGCTATGTGACTTTGGATAAGCCATTCCTCCTTTCTGAAACTCAGTTTCCTCATCTGTGAAATGGGAACAATAATATCCTTCCCCAACACCACTAACTGTTTAGTTACCACCTGCTATGGTTTCATCCGTGCCTTTCATGAGCGAGCTTGCTCCTTTTATCGATGAGGAGGCCAGAAGCCAGAGAGGGTGTCTGGTGCCGCGCCACACAGCCCGAGCACAGCAGTGCCAGATGGTGACAATGACCGGGCCATGGCCATTCTGGGGGCATTTTCTGCTTACGCGTTTCTCTTTGTGTCTAGAGGAAAAGTCACTCTGCTCTCTTGTCCCCATCAGTGACCCCACCCCACCAACCTCTTCCTCGTGGGGTGGGGGCCTGACGTTGGTCCTGTTCCCCCCAGACCCGTTCTTCGGCCAGCGCTACATCCACATCCTGGGCCGGCGGAAGCTCTACCACGTGGTCAAGTACACGGGCGGCTCCGCGGAGCTGCTGTTCTTCGTGGAAGGCCTCCGCTTCCCCGACGAGGGCTTCTCGGGCCTGGTCTCCATCCACGTCAGCCTGCTGGAATATATGGCCCAGGTGAGGGCTCCGGGCCTCCTGGGGCCAGGGTGGGGCTCTTATCAGCAGGCCACTCCCAGAACCCCACACCGTGCTCCACTCCCCTCAAAGCACCGAGGTGAGGGGGCCAGGATAGGAGACCTCGATGCCCCCTCAGCCCATGCAGAGCTGCCAGGGTCCTCTGAGCTGTGCTCCTGGGTCCTGCGCCTCACCGCACCTGCTCCCCTGTGGGCCACGTTTCCTGACACTCTCCACACCTGGGCCCTGGTCTGCCCCGTGCCCTGCCTAGTTCTGTGGCAGAGTCCCCATGGTGGGCACAAGGCTCTAACTAGGACACATGTGTTAGGTTTGTTGACCACCTACTGTGTGCCCTGTTCTCCCTGCCCCAGACTCACCCCTTACCCCCACTGTGGGTTATACCCACGCTGACCACAGGCGAACCTCAAATCCCGGTTTCAGGTTGTGCCCTACCCTGTGGCCAGCCATCTCAGCCAGCCTTGCTCCTGCTTTGCGGGGAGCTGGATGAAGAGTAGAGCCCCTGCCCCTCTAGAGAATCCCACTTGCTTAGGGTGTGTCTTGCACACGAGAAACTCCCATCACAAAGACCTTTTGCACCCAGACCTGACCCCAGCCTCTCGGGCCCACCCTGTTTCTCTCAGACAGGACCTGGCTGCTGTCCTGGACCCAGGAGCCCCGCCCCCCATCTTTACCCCTGGGCCACCGCAGGGCAGGACCCACGGACTCCGTAGAAGGGCGAGGCTGGGTCTAGCGCAGATTTACGAGAATGGGCTCTGGAACCATGAGACTTTGGTCTCTGGTTTAACCTCCCTGTGCCCTAGTTTCCGCATCTGTAAACCAGAAAGGACCAAAACGTCTGCTGCCGGGCGGCTGTGAACAAACAAACTTGCAAAGTCCTCACTCGCAAAGCACCCCCAAGCTCCCCAGGAAGGGAAAAAGGCAGAAAAGGCAAAGCTGTCAGGATGGGGGCTGGAGAGGGGGCTTCTCCTGATTCCCCCAGTCCTAGGGCAGCCTGGTCCCCCCAGGATCTCTCAGGCCCCTCCAGCGGGCACCAGCAGAGACCCCGCAGGCAGAACGGGGCAGGAAAGGCCAGCCATGTCCCCTGTCCCATGCCCCATCCTCCCGCCAAGGGAGGGGCCCATTCCCCACAGCTTTTCAAAGCCAGCCCCACAAAGGAACCCTAGAATCACATCTCATTTTCCTTCAGATTCCTGGGAAGCTGCCTAAATCATTCCTTAAAACAAAGAACAGTTTGGACATAGCAAAATTGATCCCAAACGACACTGAAATGCTCACACATAGAAGGTCTGGGGTTGGCTCAGCCATCATGTGGCCCGATTTCAGGAGGACTCTGGCGGGGCGAGATTGGACCATGGTCGAGTGTGAGCTCAGCGGCTACATTTCCTGGGGGTAAAGGCCGGCTCTGCCACCCACTAACTGTGTGGTCTTGGACAGTTACTTAACAGTTCTGTGACTCAGTTTCCCCATCCGAAAGTGAGGATTAGAATAGGGTCTACCCCCTGGGGTGGCTGTAAGGCAGAAATGAGTTGGCGCGTGTGCAGATACTTAGCACGGCCCGGCACACAGGAAGTGCTCAGGAAACGTACTGTTGTCATCAGTTTCACTGCTTTGGAAGGCAGGAAGAGAAGACCCCTTGGGGAGATTTTTTTTTTATCCCTCCCTTCTCTCCCATGTCTAGGAGATTCCACTGACACCCATCTTCACGGACACCGTGATGTTCCGGATTGCACCGTGGATCATGACCCCCAACATCCTGCCTCCCGTGTCGGTGTACGTGTGCTGGTAAGCGGTGGCCATAGCCCAGAGAGTCAACGCAGCAGCGTGGCCTAGAGCCGGGACTTCAGGGTCAGATGGATCTGAGTTCAGTTCCAGGCTCCATCACTTACCTGCTGTGTGACCTTGAGCAACTCACTTGGCCTCTCTGTGCCTCACTTTCTCTGAAATGCCCGTATCATAGAGTCACGGTGAGGATGAAATGAGATGAAAGTGGCAAAGCATCCGTCCAGTGTCCTGGCACGGAGTGTGTGCTCTAAAAATAGTAACTGCCATTTCTTTTCTCTTGCTTAACTCCCAACCATGCAGTTGGGCACCTCCCATGCAGTGGATATTCAGTTCATCTTACTGAGTAAGAAAACATTTATTGAACACCTATTAGGGGCTAGGTGCACAGCAAGGTGAGAAGCGAGTGGCTGTAGGTAGCTGGCCGGGAGCCCTGAAAGGAACCCCTGAGGTCCGTGGGCCCAGCCCATCCTCGTGCCAGGCATGGCTCTTTTCTGAAAATCAGGGGATTCAGAGATGTCAGGCTTTGAGACAGGTGGGGAGAGAGTTCCCCTCCTCGTTTTATTTGCTCATGACCTTGACACACACCACATGAGCGGTGGGCTTCCTTGGCCCTCGATTCCAGTGGCTTTTACAAAAGGGACCATGAACATAGGTGTGGCCTCATCTGCCCAGCACGGCCCAGAGCTGCCAGCTGCTATCACCACCTGGGATGGGGGGTCACCTTGTCGCTCCTCACCCCTCCTCCTGGCCTCCCCCTCTTCCCCAAACTTCTCAGCATGAAGGACAATTACCTGTTCCTGAAAGAGGTGAAGAACCTGGTGGAGAAAACCAACTGCGAGCTGAAGGTCTGCTTCCAGTACATAAACCGGGGCGACCGCTGGATCCAGGTGAGCAGCCCGGGCCCCGGTGGTGAGGACGTGGCCCGGGGGTCGGGCGAGAGGAGCTGGCTTAGCAGAAACCGCCGGCGCCCACAGCTCCACGGGCGGGAATCCTGTCCGCTCACACCCGCACACGCGCGCACACACACATACACGTAGCGGGCCAGGCAGATCCGTGCGGTGTTGCGTCTCGTGGTAGCAAAAGACCGTGAAACAGCCTAAATGCCCACCCACGGGGGACCGGCGACAGCCTTCCCGTGGAGTTCTGTGCAGCAGCTGAAAGGAAGGAAGCTGATCTATAAACATGGATACGGAACACGCTTCCAGTTAAGTTGTTACTCGAAGGAAAATACATCCAGGATGCTGCCATTTATGTTTTTTGAAATGAGGCCCATATCCGTAAGAAACGTGCTTGTGACGTGCAGAGACTGCCTGCGGGGAGGTGCGCTGCCACCGTTGGCTTGAGGGGAGGAGGATGGGGGACCACGAGACAGGGCATGAGGGACCCTCAGTTCTCTTCTGGGTCCGAGTTGTCCGACCCGTGCACAGGGGACCTGTTTGTTCCCAGCCCCTCCCCCACCCTCTCAGGCTGACCACGTTCCCAGGCCCCTCTGACAGCTCTCCCTGGTGTCCCCCCAGGATGAAATTGAGTTTGGCTACATCGAGGCCCCCCACAAAGGCTTCCCCGTGGTGCTGGACTCCCCCCGAGATGGAAACCTGAAGGATTTCCCCGTGAAGCAGCTCCTGGTGAGACACTGGGGGCCACTTGGGGTTGGGGGTGATCCCCGGGGACTTTTATGGGACAGAGAGGTCAGGAGACCGACTGCCCAGGACCTCTGCTTCCCTCATCTGCAAAACGGTCAGTTGCAACAGCGGCCCTGAGGCCCTTTCCTGCTCTGATAACTGATGTTTTAGAAACCATGGGCAGCTTTCTTGTAGGAGATGGGAAGTGTGGGGGCAGGGCGAGACCTGATTCCAGAGGTCCGACCAGCCTGTCATCCCAGCGCTTTGGGAGGCCCAG